GCAGTGCGGGCATGCGTGTCTTCTTCGGGGTCGGCGTCTTGTTTGCCGCTGGCCAGCGTGTTGGCAGTGGATGGCTCGTCGTACACGCTCCCAAAAACATCACGTGAAATGCTTTACGGTGTCCGGTTGCTGTTTTTGTTTCCGTTCCGCAGAGAGCCTTCGTCCGCCTTGCCCGCCCGCACCGTCATCGTCGATGCAGCCAAGTTGGGAGGCAAGGGCTCCCGGCCACCCTCAGGGCGCTCCCCACTGAAAGGTGTCTTGGTCTCAAGTACATCACAACGGCTGCCCGCGCTCTACGTTTGAGAAAATGCAAGCACCATTCCACCGCTGCTGGGTTCCTCTTCTTTCACTTCCTCCGTACCAGCTGAGGTGGACGGGCCAATGACATCAGCAAAAGATATTTGCATGGAGGCTGCTGGGCCATTTTTATTTCCTAATGGTTGCGCTGGTGAGTGTTGAATTTGCGGTGATGATGATGTGGCGTATTGCCGTGCTTCATTGACGACGACGGCCTCATTTGCAAATTGAAAAAGGGCTTCACTCGCATGATTGTTTTGAGACGCACCTTTCGAGGCCGGCACCCTCGCCTCTGGAGTAGCAACGGTGCTCTTCTTCATTAGCGCCTTTAGCTTGGCATCGCTCATTATGCGGTTGTACAGCAGGACGTTGCTCACCGTCACATGAACGTCATCCGAGTCCCTCGCGAGGTCCCCGCCAATGTAAAAGTGCGATGTGCTGTGGAAACTCAACACTGTTTTTAACTCTTCAAAGAAGCCCTCATAATCCTCATATTCCTTTTCACTGTCGCATATCAGCGATCCATCCAAATACACAGTCAAATCCTTGGCACAATAATCCCTTCCAAGTGCCACCTGATATTTTCTGCCCTGCACCCGGTTGGGATCCCCCAAAGAATTCTGAGTGTTGCCGTTGAATGTTACCTCCCACTTATTTTCATTCGTTTACGACAGACAAAAGAGCACCGTGTGGCCGGTGTCATGTAGCTTCACACCCGTCAAAGGGATAGAGCTGCTGCTGCCTGCTTTCGGCACCTCGCGGATGGACACCGGCGCCATGAGGGTGAAATTCTTGTGCGCAAAGTGGTACGGCTGATTCGGCCCCATGTCGCCAACAGGCCACTCCGCCCCTGCTCCGGGTCCTTCGAACTTCAATCCACCATCGGGAGTAATTCTCACTTCCCCGTGAACGGTTGCATTCACGCAGAGGTACTCGTCTCTCCACGTGCTGTCAGTTGAGGTGTTAGTTAAGGAGCCAACCAGCCCTTTAGCGAGGTTACCATCATCACAGTCACTGCAATTCTTATTATTCTTTTCATTCCCGCAGCGGTATTCCTTCGCAATGTGCGCTTCCCTTTCCTTCCATGCAGCCAACACCTTCTTCATTTCCTCCAACTTCTCCGTCAAGTCCGCAAAAGCAATGTTGTACTCACCGTCCTCTGCAGCAGCAACCTCGTACGAGCAGTAAAGTCTCCTCGCTTCTATCGGACCCTTCCATACCTGCAGTTCAACGGAGTGCAACAGAGTGCTGGCGGCGACGTTCTCACCCACAGCGGATACCGGCCCAACATTTTTTTTCTTTTTTTTTTTCTTCTCTTACCAGTCGTAGTAACTACACCTCAAATGTGCAGCTCTGGTAAGCGTACGAAGGAATTCAGCAGCAAGGATAACCTTACTCCGCGGGCAGCCATGTAAATGGCTCCAACATCTGCCCTTCCGGCCCGTAAAACTAAGTAACAACTACTCATCGGGCTTGAAGCATAAACAGCAGGCGCTTAGCTTCCTCTCTAGCAAAAAGTACTAGACCCTGGCACCACGTTGAGGTGGCCGGCTGAGCCAGGGTCGGTCCAACATCATAAATTCGCTGCATGTCCGTCAGCCACAAGTGAAGTCGACGCGTTTCTTTACCGTCCGTCTCGGAATATACCGGCCGGCTCACGGAGATGACTTTCTGTCCATCGATCGTCGCGCTGACAAAGCCACCCTGCACGCCGTGCCCCGTACGTGTACGTGAGTTGCCCCACACGCGTGAAAGAGTGTCGTATGCCTCCGTCCACCGACTCCCCCTTACGTCCGCCCTGCAAACCCTGCGGCTGCCGTCATCACACGACGTCATCATGACGAGCCTTCTGTCCTTCCATGCAGGAACCGCATGCCGGATGCATCCCGCACGACTCGTATCCCTTGAAAACCCCCAGCCATAAGTAAAACCTTTGGCAAGGATGACCAACAAAACGACCTTTCCATCATTGGTCAAGGCGTGAGTGGGCAGCACCGAGAAATTGTCCCCCAAACGAATTTCTGCGCCGCCACCACCCAAAAGTTGTCTGAAGTGTTCGGGAATGGGTTTAAAATCCTTCAAAAAGCTGTCAAGATTCGAAGTGCCGCTTCGATGCCACGCAAACTCCTTCTTCTTCTCATCCTCATCGCCATGCGGAACTTCATCCTCCGCCATCCTGGGCGTCCAACAGTCATCACCAGCCACCTTCGTCGGTGGAACCCCTGACCTGCCCTACCCCCCAACAAGAGCCCTTTTATCTCCATCATCCACAATAGCAGTTGGGTGCAACAGGCGGTCAAAGTTAATGCCGTAATGATCAAACACGATGGCATTTCCCTTCCTCCACGTCCTCTTATCGCTGTCAATCAAATTTGCAGCACCACCAACACACGATTTGCTATCCGTGGTATTTGTGTAATGCGCTCCAACGATGGCCACAACAGCGCATTTCACTTAAGCAAGAGAAGATGCACGGAACAAACCAAAAGTCCGTACCATGGGTTTGTTCTCTGCATCATTAAACAAATCCACTCATCTAAAAACGATCCCATTCCTTGAATTGCCCTCCTTGCCGTAAGTGGCTTCACTGCCGCAGCACACCCAAATCACAAAGAGAAAGGACAGCACCGCGGAAGCAAACACACGCCGGGACATGTTGGGCCTCTGCGGCTCACTCTCTCTTCCTTCCCTCCTCCTCCCGCTGGATCCGGTCATGCGGCGACGGTTGTGTGTGCGGGTTGCCTTGACTGCAGCAACACGTGAGAGCATATAAATATATATGTGTGTGTGTGCTGTTGGTCCTTTCAGAGCCTTTAAATTTCACAGTAGCGATTCGCGCTTGTTTTCCTTCGTGTGTGTTCAACAAGTGGAGGAGACAGCGACAGCGGCAATACATCAGACACGTCAGCGGTGAGCAGAGCAGAGCACCCACGCAGAGAGCAGAAGACAAGACAATCCGGAAGGGACAGCACGGAAGGCCATCGCCCACAGAAAAGAGCAGCAACATACACACGCGGTGCGAGGAGAGCACCGACCCTCTCGCAGGCACCGCACTTACTCACCCCGAAAAACACCAGCGCCACGCACCGCCACTCCGCACCGGCCATCGCGGGCGTCACGGCGGACCGTCGGTGTGTGCGGGCCAGCCCTCACGCGGTGCAACACGCCACACCCAACAGCGAAAGACAGACAGACAGGCGGAGAGAGATGAATGGATGCCGTCAAGAGGCACTCACAATCCACATGGCCCGTGAGCATGCCGCCACTCCACGCAGGAACACAGGAGGAGAGGATGACAGGGGAAGAAGCAGGAAGCAGCACAAAACACACGGAGGGAACAAACGACAGGCGGGAAAAGCACCGCCACGGTCCTCACCCTGGCCGGCGACTCCACACCAGCCCTCACACACACACACACCATCGCAGTGCTGTCAGTCTGCGGGTGAGAGGATTCGGTCCTCCACACAACAAACGCACACACCGCCAGCAATTAACCACCAATGACAAGGAAGAGAAGAGACACACCGCCGCCACCGTCTCCAGTTCAGTCCCACGGCCAACGGGATACGGCCACAGCCCCGCAGCCAACACACAACACGCACGAAGCAAGCTATCACACAAAGTGCCACACGCGGAAGCGGGCCCTCATCCACCCATGACGCGGCGCCTCACTCCATGCGGTCACACGGAGTGCACTGATTCCCCAATAGAACGTATTCGTCGTCCATCCCTTAAAGCTGCTTCTGTTATTGATGGGCCTTAGAACACAATAGAAGAAAATGGACAATGCGGTAACGCCGTAACACCGCCAGCCGCAATGATTCCCTCATATCGGGGCAATTCTCCAATCATGCCTCGTATACACACACACAACTAACATACTATGTGAAAATC